TGATTCACTTTGGACTGTGTTTAGCAACATTACATTTTTGCATTGACAAGTGACAGATCAATGCATATTTACATTGATAATAAGATGTAAAAGTATATCAATAAAAAAGAAATAAATTTGCATTCAAGTAAGCTTTCAATAAAAAAAAAATGCTTATACTTTATTGGAATTTGTGTTTGCATCCATTACAACTAGAAGTCTCTTTGATAAAAGGTAATTTTATCAATGCAAAATTAACCCGACTTTATAATTTATTTGAACCGTTTTACACTGTATCAGATGGGTGTAAATCGGGTGTGCCCGATTTTAAGATTATACACTGTATCAGTCCTGGGGTATTCTGTCCATGCCCATCCAAATTTTGATAGAACCCTAATCCGAGTTCATGCAAGTTGCACCCCCTAGGTCATGGACAAAATTATAAATGACCTCATATCTACACTGTTGTATCGCATCCGCAATACAAAATTACAAATCCAGTTGACATTGGTTCGTACAATGGTTAAATATTAGGCCGAGAAGCTCAGAATATGGGGTTTGAGTGTGAAAGCGGCCATTTTCCACTCTACCCCTCCACCAGCTCGGAATATTCAGTGTATTCTTTCTTTAGACCGTGTTTGGTTGCAATGCAAACAAATTTGTATTGATGCAAAATTATGGCAATGCAAATGATTTGAGTGTAAATTATGACTTATTTTTATTTCAAATTTTAGTTTATTTTATTTGATTTCAATTCAAATAAAATAAATTAAGACATGAAGCAGAATAAAGTAAAATTCAAAAAAAAAAGTTGAATAAGAATTTGTATGTTTTACATTTGCACTCTCATGCATTTGTATTAATGCAAATAAATTCGCACTGCAGCCAAAATCATTCCCGATCTGCTGGGAACATCTTTCATGCCTCGTAAACAGGATGTGGCCAGCATATTGTTAGTAGATCAAGCACGCATTTGAAACAAGAATGATGATTTTCATGTGAGACCAGATCACTTGACAACAAAACATGTTTCAACACCCTCCCAACATAATTTGGCACCACACATTTCATACATAGTGGATCGTTGTCTCATAGTGAGATGTGCGGTATTAAATCTCGGTAGGAGGGTGTTGGAACATCTTTTTATTATCCCAACTCTTTTCACGTTAGCAAAGTTGTTTTGCTTTTGCAATTTTTTTTTTCTTTTCTTGGCTATCTAAATTTATATAAGGCCATTAGATTTTTAAAACATCTCAACCAATGGGTAGTGTAATTTGCATGATCTGTTCCACATTTTTTTTTGGCGGAGGGGAGGAATATTTGACTCCCATCCGTGGAATATATGCATCTAAGAAGATACATTTTGCCTGTTATTTTAATGTTTAGTGTTTAGGATTTAGGGTTTAGACATGAAAATCAAGAAGTGGTGCATGGTAGCAATCAAGAAGAGTTCATTGGGGAAATTCGGTTTCAGTCCCCATGGAACTGTATTCACACCATGCTTACAGCCACTTGCAACTGTGCATTCGGAATAACTCCCTATATCTATACTATTTATAAAATAGCAAATTTCCCCTTTTTTCTGAAATTTTCATTGGACGTTTTCTACCCTTCTTGGCTAAGCACACAATGGGCATAAAAGAGGGCATATATGTCCTTACTCTCACTTCAGAAACTGTCCACTCATAATTGTTCAAAAACTACCAACTTGTAAGTTATAACTGTTCAGAAACTGCCCATAAATTATAAATAGTTTTATTTTAGAGATACTCCACGTGCAAATGCATGTACACATTTACTAGTATGAATAAAAATATACAAATATGGAGATGTTTCTGATGCATGGATGCAAAAGACCGTGAGGACTAAATCCATACTCCCATTGTGGGGGTTCAAAATGTTTTTCTTGAGGGCTCCTTTATTTTAACTTACCAATGTAAGTGAGTTTATCCAAACAAATATTTTCTAGGCAAAAGCAGGAGGGAGAGATAATTATCCATGCATGGGCAAGCAACTTACCCACCCTTCAGGAGGGCATCAATTAAGTAACTGATACTCATTAAAAATATGGTGGGACCTATTATAATGTGGCATACGATCATAGGGATCATGGTCAATTACCCAATTAACCAACTTACTCTCCACAAAATAATGACAAACAAATGGGGCATTTTTTTAAATATGGGACCATACAATGGAAAATAATTCTCTCCATGAGTCTCGATTGAGTGGAGACAAAATAATACACAATGGGCTAGGTTGGAACCTATTACGAATATACACAACGTTGTTCTATATGCACAAGGTGTGAGTCCCATATGGACACGATATACATGAAACACTAATGTGTTCATTAATGATAGATTTCCCAGCCCATTGTCAATGATTTTGTATCCAGATCATCCAGTTCCATCCCAACCTTTGATGACAACAGATTTGATCCCAATTCACCCATTCAACCGGCCAGATAATTTAGGCTTGGTTTGAAAGGAATAAAAATGCAAATATATAAAATAATAAAAAATACATAATTTTACGTTTTATATATTTGTATTTATACTTCTTCCAAACTGACCCTTACCAACTGACTGAGGCACCGCAACTTGGGGGATGGGGAGTCAAAATGTAAGATGTTGTAAACATTTTCTGCTTTCAACTATACCAAACACCCGCGTTTCACTTGAATTCATTTGGCTCATACGTATAGTAATCCCCGTCAAACTGGGAAGGGAACAGACAATGATGGACTCCAACTTTGATAGGACTCTATTATTTGTTGTCAAATTTCCTTCTCAATACCGACAGAGACGACTCTTTAACGTGGCATCATCTCATCGGCATATGAATCGAAGTGAACAGCTTCTACGTTTCCTCTTGATTGGCAGCTGCCTGAGTTTTACAGGTGTCAGAGTTGGGGAAGCCGCAGAAAGTTAGATAAAAGAATACAGTAAGGCTATGTTTGGTTTGAAGGAAAAGATAGGGAAAGGAAGGAAAAAAATAGAAGAATCTATACAATGCTTGTAAAGATTTTTCTACCTTTTCCTTCCTTTCCCTGCATTTTCCTTCAAACCAAACATAACCTTAAGTTTTCATTCATGGAAGACATTCTTAATTCCCCAACTACTGTGAGATTGGTGTGAGGCACACTTTGAGGAGTAAATCCGAATCAATATTGTTGTGTTATTTTACCTTATATGCCGACTGATGAAAGTGTATGGTCATTTCCGCGTGCTTTACAAAATTTAACAAGGTTTTTAAAACCGAACTAGATAGGGAATCGTTCTGGGTCTGATTTTGGGTAGAACGGTCCTCCGACCATCTGATCCGAATAGACAGTCTACTCTGACAGAAAAATCAAACCATTCCCGGGTCGAATGGTTTGATGGTTTGATCGTCTGGATCAATGGTTTGTTGACCAAATCAATGATTTTTAGATTAAACGGAACTGAACAAGTGACCGATCTCCTATTTTTCTGATCCGACCATCCAATCTAATTCGATTTTGAAACATTAAAATTTGATCTTTTCTATTTGAAATAAAATATAGGAAGTGAAATATTTATACCCTAAAAATCTAATTGAAGCCAAAAATAGCCAGAAATCTAAAAATACAAGCTTAAACAAAGCTTTCGTACCTTTTTAGCTTTTTGCACAGAAAATTTTTCATTTAATAACTCTGTAGATAGTTACCAGTTACCAAAGGGTATAAATATTTAAAAATAATACCCAAAAGCTGATTAATCCTTTAACCATCTATACTACCGGAAGATCTTCCGAAATGTGCCATAATGGCACCTAAATTCTCCTCCCGTCAAATGAATTCTGTTTATTTGTTCTCTCTCTCTCTCTCTTTTTTCTTTGAATTCAACTTTATATAACGTCCACTCGAAAATGATTAGAAGACATTGCTTATAAGCAGCCATAACTCCTTGGCCTGGCCCCACCACAACATGGGTCCAAGAGTTTGCCGATGCCAAGGATAGAACTCTGACCATTTGATCTTTGCATTATTGCTGGATCTCTCTTCGAATTATAGAGTTCATTTTTGTCTGGTTACTGTCAAGTTTGGCTCATAAAACTTCTTGCGTGGCCACTGTTGATTGGGAAGCTTTTATCGCCCCAAATTTTGACACGTGGCATATTATAAAAGCTCCAATGAGTCTAGTCTTGTTCAGACTATTCGACTTCGACCAGTTTATTTGCTGTACACTTCAGACAATTTGACAATAAGCAACAGTACGTTTTAATTTAACGTGTTCCGTTAACCATTTTATATCAAATCCAAAGCAAACATTATAATTGGGGATGTAGCTCAAATGGTAGAGCGCTCGCTTTGCATGCGAGAGGTACAGGGTTCGATCCCCTGCATCTCCATATAACGTTTTTTTTTTGTCTAAACCAAAACGAACGAGAAGAAACAAATCCCATTGGGCCACATCAAACAGAGCCCGTGTGATCCATCATTCTCATTCCTATTGGCTATAATGGAAAAGAGAGTTCATTCTCTGACGCCAGATCGGAATCTATTGAATTACTAAACGTGCTTAGATCTAACATTCACTGCCAACGTCACCCACCAGCGTACTTTAGCTAGAACCCCAAAGAAAATCTAACCCAACAAGGCAACAAATGACTGAAGTGAGCGATTGCGATTACCGGCAACAACCGGTAGACGCTTTTGACGGTTGACTGAAATTCGACGCATAGGGAGTACTAATTGCAACCGAGTAGGAGAGAGAAAGCGATATGACAATACAATTCTGCCCTCCTGATCGGAAGTTTGAGAGAGGGAAACCACCGTCCAAGCGACCGAATCCTGAATCCCAACCCGGGCCCCTTCACGCGCGGCTGCCGGCTACTGCACATCTCCGTCTGAGGCAGGCATTTTCCAGGACGGTATTATTCCGCTTTACCGGCAATATCCGGTCACCACGCAGGAAGCTCCGAAAAAATGTTCCATCCCACTCACTTTCCACCCACGTCCGCCCTTATCTTCCTTCGCCCTTCGCCTCCTCCATAAATTCATCGCCATCACCACCGCTGTTTCCACGCTCCGCTCCTCCTCCCCACCATTCTTCTCTTCACCTCTCTCCCACGGATTCATAGCTCCATCGTTCTGGTTATGTTAGCTGCTGCCAACGCCGGGGAACCCCAGAGCCTAAGCTCTTCCCCTGCTCTCGGCTTTCCTCGCTTGAGGTTCTTCCGTTATCGGAGATTGAGGTAGCTTTTTTTAGTTTGATTTCGCTCTTCCTCTGCCCCTTCTGAAAATTTGTTTACAAAAGATGCCGACTTCTTCCAAAAATCACCGGCGAGGCCACGAAGACAAGGTCGTTAAGATGGGAAAGTTGACCGAAAAGTCGTCGTCGTTTCATGGCCGGAGTAATCTAATCCCCCCGCAGCTTCTCCGCCCCAAGACCGACCCAGACCTCCTCTCCGGCAGGAAGTTCACCGTAACCGCGCAGGAGACTGCGCCAGCGAAACTGACGAAGCTGCTGCTGAACGTCACGATACAGAGGAGCCTAGGTGCCATACAGGTGGTGATTTCGCCGGAATCGACGGTGAGTGATCTTATAGCAGCGGCGGTGCGGTTGTACGTGAAGGAGGGCAGGAGGCCGTTCCTACCCACGACCGACCCTTCCGCCTTCGATCTCCATTATTCGCAGTTCAGCCTAGAAAGTAAGCAATCAAATTTTAAAAGAAACCCCTTTTTTCCTTCTGTCGAAATGCTAATCTATCTGTTATTATCCGCGGGATTCATCCGGAACGTCTGCTGCTTGGTTGAATCGACTCTATGTCCAGTTGGGAACCACTGTTTTCTTCTTTCGTTTTCATTGTTTAGAGGAAATGAAGATTCTTGGTCAATATCTGCAAATTGCTAGAATAGAAATGATACTCATCACTGTGGTTGGTTTGTGGGAGCAGGTCTGGGTCGAGAAGAGAAGCTAATAACGTTGGGATCAAGGAACTTTTTCCTGTGCCCAAGGAAGCAGCAAGTCGGAGATGCTACTGTGCTATCATCATCTTCCTCCTCTTCCTCCTGTTCAAACCAAGCTGAGAAGGCTTCAAAGATCGGAGTTTCTTGGCTGAGATTCATGGATTTCTTGCTGTAAAAGCAAGCTATGTCTTTTCCATTTTGTTGGGTATCTGAAAATGAGATTCGGTTGTGGAATTTATTAGCAGAATTAAACCTCTGTTGTATAGAAATTGATACAGTGTCTGAGGAGCCATGTATTGTGTTTTTATGAAGGCTAGGCTGGAGATGTAAAGTGAAGCCATTTGATTTGATCTGAGCATTTATTGTGTCTGTTTTCTAGAAAGGAATGCAAGTTATCTCTTTCAAATTCATTCATCCTTCTTCCATTTTTTAAGTTTTTCTATGCACAATATCAACATGTAGAGATAGCTGAGAGCTTGATTTCCTTCGTGGGAACAAGCAGGAGTTGATTGAGTTCAGTCCTTTTGTCCTATTGCTTCAGAGAGGAACCTTTTTAAACTTTGCATTGGTTGGAGAGGAAAAGGTCACTTTAAAATAAGCAATTCACACTTACATCATTGCTGTAAGACTAAGCGCTTGTTTGGAAATGCTTATTTTTAAGCACTTATGAAAAAAAGTGCTCATTTTAGGTTAGGACCACACCAATAACCACTTATATGCATAAGCATTTTTTTGTAAAGTAAACCCATTTTGACTAACCTCAAATTTTAGTTTTTTTTTTTTTTTTTGAGCACTTAAAGTGCTTATTTTACACTAGGACCAAACCAATAAGCACTTACATAGTTTTATGCATCTGAGAAATAAGCATGAATAAGCACATTTTTGGGAAATAAGCCCATTTTGAATAAGCTTAAAATTTTTTATTTTTTCCAAAAGCACTTATTGAAAATACCTATATTGCTCTTTTGAAATTTCTTTTACCAAACACTCCTAATCATTTATTTATCCAATAATCACTCCCAAACGAGGCTAGTACCAAAAATTAGATAGAGATTCTTCGTTGCACAAAGATGATGGAGAGGACAGGAGTAATTGATTAATGATATTATTATGAATATAAAAACAAAAGAGGTGGGGAGATGAGTACAAAATTTGTCCAACAGGTAGGGCCCGGGTGCAAAAATAACTGTGCAAAAAAAAAGAAATACAAAGGAATATCTTGAATTATAATTTTTAAATTAAAAAAAGGATATTAAACCATGTAATCTGCTACTATTGGATAATAAGATACGTCTGCATTTGCACTACTCAATCTCCAGAATCTAAGGTGAAGCTGTAAGTCTATGATATATCAATTAGGCCAAAGCTAGTGAGTGATTTTGAACAATCTTAATTAATGACCTCTCATGATAAACAATTAGACTGTCTCAATCCTCCTTAATTTTAACTTTGGGCTAAATACGGTAATTAAGAAAGATACCTTAGTTTGTCTATGTCTTGGGCTTAGGAACCCAACAACAAATAAAGAAAGAATTGAGACAGACAGTTCATCTTCTTTTTGAGGTTAAAAGATGAACAAGGATGAAACGCATCTACAATAGCATTCGTATTTAAAGTGTAGGTCCAAAGTCTTGATAGGATAAGCTAAGAATTTATCAGCGTGGGACTGTGGATCTGAACTTGACCAAATGAGAACGATCAAGAGAGAGGAATTGAGTCTTCCTAAAGAACCGTTGAAAGCTTAAATTGTTAGGTGAGGTTTCTAAATATGATTTTATTATCTAACCGGTTTACCTTCAGTTTACCTCTCATAAAACTCCATATAATCTGAATTCCAATTCAAATTCTCTAATTCCATATTTGAATTCAATTTGGATGATTTTATTGGATATCTGATAAGGATCCAATCTGATTCTAAAAATCATCAAGAGAATATCTAGATCTGGTAAAATCAGAACGAATTCGAATTTGAACTGAATATCAAGAATATCTTCCTTACATGTGTGTTAAAGTTATAGGAAAATGTTCTCAATGTACAGTTATATGAGTGTACTTATAAAGTGTGTATAGAGTTTTTACTTACAAGAACTCTCCCATGAATAACAAGAGAGACATTTTTCAATGTATGAATATAGTATCCTATGTATAGAGACGTTAGAAGAGCTTGTGGGTAGGAAATCTCAACTCATTTGATAGTGGATGGAAAGAAAACATTATCACCAGAAAATATGCTGTCCCTCCCGAATGGCAGCAAATGTGCTATACATACTGAGACCCCCACATAGCTGAGAGACATTTAGGCTGTGCTTGGTTTGAAGGAAAAAGGTAGAGAAAGAAAAGAAAACCAATACAATGCCATTTATTATGATCATCAATCCAAATAAAAAAGAATGTTTGGTTCATATTATGACTATTTCAGATTATGAACTCAGCCATACTTACAAGGGGGATTTAATGGATGGTGAAAGTGAAATAACTATTTGTAAAAAGTAAATGTCAACATCATATCATGTCATGCTAAATATGGGTGTGTCATGACTCATCATCATCATCATCATCATCATCATCATCATAATAATAATAATAATAATAATAATAAGTCTATAAACACACATTTAGGGTCCCTTTGAATCAGAATCGAAATCCTTTGGAATCAGAATCGATATGGTCCATTCCCATAGTTTGTTTGATTCATATAGGAATAGGAATGGGAGTCAGCAGGAATGAGACTTCATTCCCAAGGGAAGGGCAGGGAATGGCCATTCCCTCAAATGGGAGAATACCATTCCAACAGGAATGGTAATGGGATTCCGATTCCACCCAACCAAACGGTTGGAATCGGAATAGCCCATTTTGATTCCAATTCCAGACCCCTATTCCCACGAACCAAATGGGGCCTTAGAATTCAACAACCCTTCGAAACTTTGTTGAATTGGTATATTTCTGTAACAGTAAAACTTGGCATAAACTCAACTTGAACTCAATTTTTGGGCCTCTTTTGCCGGCTGTGGTCCAAATTTAGGGGTAATCATTTTTTGCTCAGACCAACCTAGCCCGCAAATTTCTGGGCCTGGGCCCATGTTTTTGTGTGCAAGCCCAGTCTAGCTCGGGCCTGCATTAAGACCAGACAATTTTGGGATGGGCTTGGGCCCAACACTTCAAGTCCGTCCTATAATATAATATAATATAATATATATTACAACAGTTTACAACATTATATTATATAGGTTATATATATGCATGTATATTTTATTTTATACTAATATAAAAATTTTAAGATTTAACATATAAATAAATATAAATATTAATTAGTTGACACATGTCAATCCATCTATGAACATTTGAGGCAATTCAAATATGTAATTGTAAATTGTCCTCCTAGGTAGACCTGTTCATGGGCCAGGTGGTCCGACCCGACCCTCGGACGGGTTTGAACATGTTTATAGGCCCGCGGGCTTAAATTCGGGTCACAAAGTCTGGCCCGCAATAAATTCGAGCCGGGCTCGGGTTTTGTCAAAATAGCTCGGCCCGGCCCGACCTAATATTAAACTTAAAATTAGTTATGTGATTATGTCCATTTGAATAAATTTTTTGATTTAACAATGTAAAATTGTGTTTTAAAATATAAAAGAAAGGGAAAAATATCATCTTGTAGGCCCATTGTTCATTTAAATAGAAAAAAAAATACTATCTGAATTTTTAATTCTAATTTGAATAGGGAAATTTGTTTTTTTTTTTTTCAATTAGGTCGGGCTTCGGGCTCGGGCTTGGGTTTCGGGCTTTTTACCAGGGTTGGGCTTGGGCCCAAGTTATAGGCCCGTTGGTCGGGCCGGGGTCAGGCTCGAGCCTAGTATATTTTCATTAGTGACAAGTGAAAGCCCGGCCCGGCCCATGAACAGGTCTACTCCTAGGTAAGGCTTTCATTCTCATTGCCTAAGCAATGCAGACTTGGAAAAATACTCAATGGTAGCACTTGTTATTTAGAGTTGTTCCAAGTCCCACATTTCTCAAGAATGAGAATGGAGGCCATGCTTTCATCTATAAAATGATAGGTAAGTCAAGCAAAACCAACTCTATGGCCTTGTTTGGTTCATGGGAATAGGGATCTGGAATCGAAATCGGAATGGGCTATTCTGATTCCAACTGTTCGGTTGGGTGGAATCGGAATCCCATTCCCATTTCTGTTGGAAAGGCATTCCTCCAGTTTGAGGGAATGGCCATTCCCTGCCCCTCCCTTGAGAGTAAAATCCCATTCTTGCTTATTCTCATTTCCATTCCCACTCCTGTTTGAATCAAACACACTATGAGAATGAACCATTCCGATTCCAACTGCAAACTAAACAGACCTTAAGAATCAAATGAGGCCCATGCCTTTTTTGGTGCATAGGCCCAAAACTTAGCCAATTTATCTTGGGCTTGTGCCATATTTTGTTCTATATATTATATTATATTTAAAATAAGAATTTTAAATAATTAAATTTTTGTTATTAGATGTCATAGGCTCAGAAAGGTTGTAAGCTCAGTCCGGGCCCATAAAAGATTGGGCTTGGACTTGCAAACTAGGTCAAGCCGTCCAGTGTGCGGGCCAGTCTGGGACTGGGTTTAGGTTAAAGCACTTATCATTATGCTAAACCCGGCCCAGCCCTAACCATGATCACTCGATTCACCCCTATCCAAACTGGCTTGATGCTCAACTCCTTGTGAATGCTCGAATGTGCTCAACTCCAATCAAGTCATCGAATATGGGATGAAAATTATGGACAAAGATTAAAACGTCGATACATCTGATACTCTCAAGTTGGTGTGTAAGAGGGTTTTAATGATTAGAACCTCTCAAATGTTTTCATTTGGATTTTGGCGTATGAATGACCCTCAAAACAGATATGTATCACCGATATTTAAACCTTGATTGCACATAAAATTGTGGATAACCAACAGGGTCTCTCTCACTTTGTACCCTTTCTTCAATTGACTATCCTTTTAGCTTTTAATTTTTACATTTAGGTTAAAAGATTTAAACCTCCCCTAATATTTCACCAAAATACTAAAACATCTTCTCACTTTTTAAATTAAACTTAAACCTCCCTCCTTAATTTTTTAAAGCGTTATCTCTAATAAAGAAATCAAAATATCTAATATACCCCAAGTTAATTTTGGCATTAGATTGATATGTACTTAATTCAAAGAACAAAACCTTCGCCTTTAACCTTGGAATAGTGAACTTGACTGTTGTTCATTTCACTGTTGAATCCAATTGCCACCAATGGAGCTTTGATAACATCTCATAGGAGCAATTTTCTTCTCTCCGAAAATCAATGTTCATCTCGTGATCAAAATGATCAAATTAACAAATAATGTTGCTTTAATTTTCTGATAAGCAATCTTTTATTACAGAAATATTATTATTTCA